CCCTACACTAGCCCCTACGCCCTCTGCTTGGCGTCCACTCCAAATCTGATTCCCTCTGAACCTCTGACTCGTCTGTTGGGCACTCTACCACGTCATGGTCGGTGTGCATCTGTATCCCAAAACACTGCGGCGGCGGAGGAAGATTCATTGCTCAGGCCGGGGTTCTGAAAATGTTGGTCGAAACAACCATGAGATCACATCTCAATAAGCACACACCCTAAACCCCACCTAGGCTATCACGTACCTCCAGACAATCACAACACACAATCACATTCAACCATAGCATCGCAAGCAGACAATTCTGCTTATCTAGGCCTTTCCAGCATGCAACCTGCACGTTAGGCATAACAGCACGATTTCACTCACATGCATGTTATAATCATATTTCGTGCATTTGTTCCAACCTCATCACATCTTTTCTACAACTCTCGCCAGTGACCCGCGTTACAGTACACGCCTCAGACCATGTCTCTTGCCCGCGTTACAGTACACGCCTCAAGCTCAACACCTACCACCTACGGTACAACCTGCGTTGAAGTACACGCCTCAGGTTGGTAGTCTTTCGGTAATACCGGGTATCGTCCCGCGTTAAAGTACACGCCTCAGGACGGCACAATTTCCCGCGTAATGGTACCGCCTCAGGGATTTCCACAATTACGCATGCCACACCACATACCATTTCTTACTCATTCACATGCTCAACACTCACATGCCAACATATTGGCCATTCACACTTGGCCCGTACACGCATCAAACCATGCATTTCTCATGCTCAATAAGCATCCAACACGGTCAATTGACAATCAATTCAATTCGACCTGAGCGTGCACATAACAAGCACATTTCAATCCATCAAATCACGGTACAATAAACACACAAGGCCACTCACGGGCCCACAAACACAACCACGTTCATAGACATAAATTCGATATTTCCAAGCTCATTTCCAACCATATTAAACACCACAATCCAGCCACACTACCACACACCAAACCGACACCATTTGTCCTTAACTCGAGCCCTAAGCTCGTCAATTCCATCCCACAACATTCGACACTCTATTTAGTCTCACTCCAGCATCGAAACATCCTCATTTCATCCTCAAATCAACTCATATAACACACATTCAAGCATCAATTCCAGTCACAAGGGCAGCAACTATTCAACCTCGACACCCCCACAATTCCGCTCATAAAAATGAACATCCATAGAATCAGGGTAAATCTGGGCAGTTTACACAGTAACCGAAATCCCATCACAATAAATAGTAAACGAACTCCAAAAATTCTAAATTTTGGATATATCATAAAAAAACATCTTAATAAACATTTCTTACGGAGAACACGAAATCCGGTTCAATCTATAATCATGCCTTTTTGTCCCTCGAAATCAGACCAAAATCAGTTCGCTCTAACAAACTGTTTTGTCCTCAAAATACATTTCTTTCAACATACAAATCATCTTGAAAAGCTTTGAAATTTTTATATGTCATAGATAAGAAAGTCGCCAACAACCTTTGTGAAGGAAGTTTATTGAAAATAGATCTGGAAAATTTTATAAAAATTCAACCAGACAAGAAGGTCGGGATGAACAGTGTTCCGGGCAGTTTTAATACGGTTTGAAAATGGGTTTTCGTGCGACCCAAATGGCCTCCAAAAATTCCAAATTTAAAATATGTTATACTTCAAGATGTTGGAAGCAACTTCATGAAGAAAACTTCCTCAAATTCTGCCTACACAATTCTCCACAAAAATAGCAAACCCGACGGATACAGTAACCGCGAATCCGAGAATCACACCAAACCTCAAGGATTCAAACCCTAATTGATTTCTACCGAATTTCAACCACCAAAACTCATTCCACCATGTCCAAACTATCATCCAACAGACACATGAACATCCATGAACACAACAAGGGATCAAGCTCTCCTCTAATCCATCTATAATCACTTCCATCAACCCCTAAAACCGACTAAACCGCGTCTAAACTAGTCCGTTAATACCCGATATCCTAAATAGGGTTTAGGGGGCGACTTACCAAACTCTAGACTAACGTGGCTAGAGTGGAAAGCGGCGGCGATCAGCGGGGACGGCGGCGAGCGGCGGCGAGGCTTAGCGGTGGCGCGGACGGCGAAGGCCTCCTTGCCGTGTGTCATGGCCAAGGGAGAGGGGAGAGAGAGAGAGCTCACGGTGAGGGAGGGGAGGGAGCCGTGAGATGAGAGAGAGAGAATCAGGAGAGAGAGATTGGTCTTGGTCTTTTAATGGTCAAACCAATAATTTAGAGGCCAAAATGACGATCATGCCCCTCTCTCACAATCCGAATCGATGGCTCGGATTCGATCTTATCTTGAAACCGACGGCCGAAATCGAATCTTTCCCAAAAATATCCAAGGGCAATTTTGGGAATTTCATAAAATTCCAAGGGCAAAATTGTCCAACTCAAAAGTTAGGGCAAAATTACCAAAATGCCCTTCCCTATTAAAACTTGCCCTTAACAAATTCCTAAGGGTAAAACGGTCACTTTCCTCATCTCTCGTCGAAATTGAATTTTCCTGAAGGATTCGGGCAAATCCGAAGCTGTACGTTCCCACCACAACGTCGTCCTAACGCCCCGTTGTGACTTCCTAATTTTTCGATGTCCAAATTGGGCTCAAATAAATAATTAAATTTTATTAAACGTAACTCGAGCGTTTCTCGGACTAACGGGCGGCTTTTTGGGGAAATTTACGTATTCGACCCGTGACTGATAATAAATCGAGTCACGTGCAAGTTCATTCGGTTCGTGACGACTTCGGTTGTCATTTAAATCGCGAGGATCGACCGCTAGATCCGAGGGGCACGATCGTTTGGTATAGGTTCAGGATCATTCGTCAATTCATTTCGTGGTCCCGCGGAATCACCTGCGATCCACTACTATGATAGTGGCGAACTGACCCCTGGTTATCATTGGATCGGCCAACAGTGGCTCAAAATGTCACATCGACGATTTTATGGTCGAAAATCAATTCATGATCGAATTTTCTTTAGTTGGACGAATTTAAATTCATGATTAGCCTTTCCCTAATGGTTAGTATCTCAGGAATGATCAGTTCCGGGCGAGAACTAACTACGAGTACGTTCATAAAATCAAGCATTTCATAAATCCCAAATGGACAATTTTCAGGATGTCACAGGGGATTCTCCAAGGCCATATTGACCATATGAAAAAAGAAGAAGAAGAAGAAGAAGAAGAAGAAGAAGAAGAAGAAGAAGAAAGCTAGGGTTGAATGGGGCGTTAGCCCTAGATGGCTCTTGATACTGTGTTGAGAAAGAAATCGTTCTGTATTTCTACTAACCTTAGTTGGGGTATATAAATACCCAAGAGTACATTCTAGAAGATTTACTAGCAAGAAAAGAAATAAATAAAATAGAAAACTTTCTAACTTCTAAAGATAAGATTCCAAATCTTCCAAAACTGATATCCCTATATTTGGTAGATATATATTTGGTTGATAATCCCAAAAAAAGAAATTGTTTCTTTCTTGAAAATTTTCTTATCTTATGGTGCAGTAAGAAGCAAATTGTTGATTCGCGTTTTAGCACGGAAGGGGAGCATTGAGCTTTAGAGGATGCTAACTTCCAAACATTTGTGGCTTCGCTTGCATATTTCTCAAACATCAGCTAGGATAACAGATCGTTGATAGTGCCACTCTCGATTGCTCGTACGATGTCTCTTATGAGCCGAAAAACACATCGAAAAAGACTATCACTTAATAAACTGTCACCCTCATCTTCAAAAGGCTATCGATATTTTCCGTTTCTCCGACCAAGCCTTTTTGCCGGGTAAAAGTATGAAATAATAGTTGCTGCTGCCAAGAGCCCAGAGCAAAAGTCAATTAAACAGATACCAAAAAAGGCTACTAAATTTGTCAATGCATGTTTTACGAGCCAAATCTTTTATGAATTCCCAATCGAAGTAATTTAATCCATTTCCGACGATCCGGAGATACATGGATGCGAGATTCTGAAAGATCAATGCTCAAAACTCCTTGGCAACTATTGGCTGCTTATCCAAGAGATCCCTAGCATCGAAATTGATCGGGTTCGGATCCAATGAATTGATGTGTGCATCTACACTAAAGTCAGTTTTCTGAAAGATGGATACTCAAAACTCAATGACGACTATTGGTACCTCATCCAAGAGATCCCTCTTGTTGAGATTGAGGACATTCGGATCCAATAAATTGATTCTTCCATGTACAGTTAGTTTTCCAGGGTTTAGGTAAGTTTTTGGTTTTGCACTTGATGATGCCCTTCTTAAGGAGGTAACCTTACTTGCTTATCTGGCCATTTTCCAAATGAGAGCCCTTTTTACCTCAATACACCAAATTTGCACTTTTCGCATGCAATGTTCATGTACTTTCATTTTAAGTATCTTGATCGATGGGTCATTTCACACAGACTTGACGGGCTCATTCATGTCAAACCGTTGATTCAATGCTGTTGTTATGTGTGCAATTTCGTTCCCATTTTGTCCATCAAGTTAAATATATGCGAGTGTGCTGGAGGAGAGTGATGTCAAAGAAGGTGTGCTGGGAAAAATATACTCAGGGCTATTGATTTATTACAAATGATATAAACTAATGCTTGTTAACGAACGTATCGTTTAAAGAATACATCCAATTCAACTTTACTGGAATAGCAAATGACCCGCTAGTTGTCCATGCATGTAAGACAAAATTTATCCTATATTTTAAGCATTCAATGCCCTTTGCAGAACAACAAAAATAATCCCAACGTCCAATTTTTGTATTAGTGTTTTCAAGGAAACTTCCGACATGGCTATACCTAATGGAGAATTTCGATGCTATCTAACAACCAGAAGTATAAAATAACCATAGAATTAATATATCGGAGACCATTAATCTTGACCCCAATAATATATCAAGGTACATTGTACAGCATGGTGCTGAAATGAAAGGGAAAGAACTTTCACTTTCAGCCAAGCCCCAGAAAAACAATATGACAAAGCTTTTTGCAATCCTCATTTTTATGCTTAGCTTTCTCACCCTAGAAACCGAATCAATCGTTACTATCAGCGAGCATTACTGCTCGAATTCAAGCACTTTCACTCGGAATAGCACCTACGAGGCAAACATCAACCTTCTCCTCCAGTCCCTTCCCTCTCTCGCCAACTCGAGCAACGGATTCTTCAACACGAGCGAAGGGAAGCCAAGCAATGCCGACGCCGTATACGGTAGCTTCCTATGCAGGGGAGATGTCACTAAGGATGTGTGCATGGAATGTGCGACAGATGCTAGTGTCAGGATCAAAGAGAAGTGTCCTATGGCCAAAGAGTCCATCCTCTGGTTTGACCAGTGCGTGTTGCGGTATTCGGACCGTAACTTCTTTTCAGCCACAGATAAAGCACCTCTTCTGGGCGGGTATAATCCAGAGAATGTGAAAGAGCCCGCCGAGCTCATGGAGCTATTGAACAAAACAATGGACCAGTTGATAACTACCGCCACTGAACGATCCGATAAGAGGTATGCTCACAAAGAGGCCTTAGAAAACTCAACGGGCACTATTCTATATACATTTGCCCAGTGCAGGCCTGATCTCTTGGTGGCTCCCTGCAAGGATTGCCTGCAGAATGTGACTTCGATTCTCCTGACAAATCAAACCGGGAAAATCGGGGGCAGATTCTTGCTTCCGAGTTGCTTCGTCAGGTTTGAGATGTATCCGTTCTATGAAAACGCTACAAACCTCTTGAACGTCCCGAAAGGTAAGAAACTCGACCCTTTTTTTTAACTAGTTATAGTGCCTTTCTCTTTACTGTTTTTACCGTTCTCAATTGCCTTTACCATATACTTGCTAGTTGCTAAACGTAATGCCATTATACTAATGAAGCCTTCAACTAATTAAATTACAGTCGAAAAGAAAAGGCATTCTTCATCAAGATTAGTTGTTGGGATCGCTTCTGCAACTTTGGCAGTTGTGCTACTTTGCATCGTGCTCTGCTTTACCCTCAAAAGAAAAAGGAACAAGAGAAACCATGTCGAAGAAGATCCTATTGGTGAGAAATGTGTAGGTGTACACTGCTTGCGTTAGTCTTTTCATTTATAGTTTATTCGGATCGAAGAGTTGATGGCTTACTGCTACACAGTTGAGAGCGAAATGACGGAACTACATTCCCTGCAATTTGATGTGGGCACAATTGAAGACGCCACAGCTTACTTCTCTAATTACAATAAATTAGGCGAAGGCGGGTTCGGTCCAGTTTACCGGGTAAGAAGTTTTTAACATAGAGATATGACATAAAGCACTACCTAGAGACTCAATCTCTATTCATATTCTGTCTTAACATGAGAATTTCTTTCATATTCTGTCTTTTGTAGGGTACACTTCCTTGTGGGAGAAATATCGCAGCAAAAAGGTTGTCTCAAAGCTCGAAACAAGGCTTACAGGAATTCAAAAACGAAGTCGAATTGGTAGCCAAGCTTCAGCACAGAAATTTAGTGAGGCTATTAGGATTTGCCATGGAAAGAGAAGAAACGATACTAGTCTATGAATATGTTCCCAATGGAAGCCTCGACCAGTTGCTTTTCAGTGCGCTCCTCTCTCTTCATCTTTAAAAGTGACTCCATTCCACTCAGTTTAGTTGTCTCGTTCCAATCCTGGTCACGATCTAGAAATATATCCAAGATTTAAGCAGTAGTAGAGTAGTATGTCTTGGAACATTTTTTAAACACATTGATGATGATTTCAAACAAAATTACATGTTACAATGACCACCTGCCAATAACGTTCAGACATGTGTAGTGCTCCTTCTGACACAACATTTGCAAATTCTGGCCTACACAGACCCTCAGCAAAGCATACAATTGGATTGGTCGGCCCGCAACAGGATCCTGATTGGGGTGGCGCGTGGTCTTCTTTACCTTCATGAAGATTCTCGGCTCCGAATTATCCATCGTGACCTCAAAGCTAGCAACATTTTGCTTGATGACAATCTGAACCCGAAAATCTCAGACTTTGGTATGGCTAGGATTTTTGGTGCTGAGCAGACTCAAGGAAGTACAAACAGAATCGTCGGAACTTAGTAAGTTCAATTTCATATTACTTCGGTTCATGGTAGGAATAACCCACCGGATAATTTGCGATAATTACGCTAACAGATTCGGCCTTTAATTGGATTTTTTAATGCATAGAATATATTGAGCCTTAACATCTTGATGTTTAAGCGAACTATGCTCATTCATGATAATCACGACTATGTCTTCCTCTTTGAACTACTTCGCAGCGGCTACATGTCTCCTGAATATGCCATGTACGGACAATTTTCAGTAAAATCTGACGTGTTCAGCTTTGGTGTGCTAATGCTTGAGATCATAACGGGCAAGAAGAATCAGGATTCTTACATATCAGATCACGGCGCAGGCCTTCTCGACTACGTGAGTACAGTTTGATCCGACAATTTCATTCATTTTTGGTAAATTAATGACAGTACCAACATATTTTCTAGGTTTGGGAACACTGGAGAATCGGAGCACCGTTGGAAATTGTGGATCGAACAGTCAGTGAATCTTGCTCGGAAAGCGAAGTGATCCGATGTATTCACATTGGCTTGCTTTGCGTTCAGAACGACAAAGAAGCCCGACCTGCCATGGATACAGTTGTTCTTATGCTTAGTAGTGCTGATTCCATTAGCCTTCCCGTGCCCGAGGAACCTTCATTCTCCATCACAAGTGTGAAGCACAAACAACAATCTCAAGATCGAAACTCAAATCGATCTAGCGAGAAGCTCGATAGCAGCAAGACAACGCCGCAATGTTCAGTGACCAGCGGCTGTCTTACTGATGTGGCTCCTCGATAGAGAGTGGGAAAAGATCATGGAGCACACTCGAAATCCACTGATCAATGTACAATTCCTGAGCCAAGAGGTCAACACCAAGTATCATTCAAAGAACGCAAGCTCTCTCTTGGAAGGAACAAGATTTTTAAGCTCCAAATTAGAGTGTAACTATTTAGATAGCAACAAATCGAAGAATAAAGTAGATAACTCATTGTTCTGTCTTTAATTATGAATGTTAGAGAAGCATATTTCTCTCAACTCTTTAGTTTATTACCGTTTATCTTATATTATTCTTCAAGACAATGGAATGGATAGCTCTTTGCAACAGCAGAATACTATTGTTCCGCATATTAAATAAAGATTCTTTTCCATACTAGTAAATTTTATTAAGTGATAGTAAGGGTCAAGAATTGTTGATAAAAAAAATGGATTGATAACTTTTTTTCCAGGTAACTTGCTAGAAATTTGCCGACATTTTTATGAAACTATAAACTTTCTTTGACAGTTTGAAAATAACAACTTATACTAAAATACTAATTTTTATTTGCTTAACTTACTGACATTTAGAATTTACGAACTCTTATAGGAAAATACCAGATGTAAATTAGACTATGGGCCAAGATCACCATTAATATCGATTCAGAATTTCTGCAAATGAATTAGATACTCCGGAAAAGAACAATCTGTGGACAAATTCTTGCGGCAAAGAGGCCATCTCGAAGCTCCAGACAAGGCGCTCGAGAATCCAAAAATGAATTTGAACTGATAGCCAAGCTTCACATAGAACCTAGTCAGGATATTAGGGTTTTGCCTGGAAAGAGAAGTAACATTATTAGTCTACAACTACGTGCCTAATGGAAGCCTCAACCACTTGCTATTTGAAATGCGTCGTTCTTATCTTCTTTAATATGATTCCATTCTTCTCTGCTTCGCTCTTTCTTTCCAATCCTTAATAACCAAGCAGAATTGTGTATGACGTTTAAGCAAAAGGTGGGAGAATGATACTAATAGTCTCTAAACTTTGACCGAATGTTCAATGTCATCCTTAATCTTTTAATTTGTTCAATGTAGTATTTGAACTATTTGTGAATATTCAATTTAATCTCTAAACTTTTAATTTACTCGATCTAGTCCCTCAACTATTCCTAAATGTTCAATGTCATCCTTCGGTACTATTCATAAGTTTCCATAGTTACACATTGTCTAGATTTTAAATTATATTTGCATTTCAATACATTATCTAAATCATCAAGAAATATGCGATATATTTATTACTTTTTTACTTTTTGGTCTTTATAAATGTTACGATAGTTCCGTTTAAATATATTGTAACTTATGATTTCTATAATAATAAAAGTAGAACCTCATTGAGAGTAGTATGTAGTTTTAAAAGAAAAATACTCGTCGCAATGACCAATTTCTTGCTAGTTACAAACTTGAAGCATCAACCTCTACTGACTTGGAGCTATTCATGAATTCTGGCAAAGCAGACCCTCAACAAGGTTGACAATGGACTGGTCGGCAAGTCACAAGACCATGGTCGGGGTGGCATGCGGTCTTCTTTACCTCCACGAAGATTCTTGGCTTAATCCAGCAGCATTCTGCTCGATAATGAGATGAAACACGAAAATCTCAAGACTCTTGATATGGCTAGGATGTTTGGTGCTACTACCTTGGCAATCTTTTGTTTTCAGGGAAGCTTCGGATTTGACAAAAAAAATATCACATCCAAATTATCCATATCAAACTTTCTAAAGTAAATGGTCAGATTTGATGAGTAAGACATGAAATTGTGTCTATAAGCTTCCATTCCCGGAACAACCATATAAAACACTCTAGAGATCAAAAGAGAAGTTTCTCTTTTGAAATTGGTCCACACGGTCGGACCATCTTTCATTGAATGTTGAAGGCACGCGGAGTTTCTCTGCTTTTATTCTAGCATAAAACACTTTTTAAGTTCTTACTGATACAATAATGGAGAGAATGCATTTCTGTAACCCACAGAAGGAAGCTAGTGGGTCAAGCGAATCCATGCATGTGCCACATGTTATTGAAGGCAGCAATCAAAAGTTGATGGCTTTGCATTTCAAGATTAGTATATTGTTTACGAGTTCCCATTTTCCATTTGAAAAGATAGTGATTTCGAATTCGGAGACTTAGTTTCCGGTTGATGATGTTTTTCATGAAAACAAGAAGAAGATTTCGGGTGTAAGCTTTCTCAAGTTAATCTAGAGTCAAAATCGGATGAGGTTTCTCATGGAATAGTTGAAGTTGAAGAAGGAAAGCCAGGATTTCAAGAGGAAGTTGGTTTGAAGATGAAACTTGATTTTGCGATTACTGAAAAATTTGAAGATTCATCAATTGCATAGTTTGGTTGGAAAGTTTTCTCGAAGAAAGAGGATCTCAGTAATTTCAAAGATGTGGTGACGAATGGAACATATTTTATTGCATTATCCGACATTTTTATGATTATATTATTCGACATTTTCTTTCTAAAATCAACTTAATTTAAAATTTTATTTAGTTATGTCTTATTATTTTCTTTTCATTAGTTATCCGACTAGATTTGAGATAATATTCTTAGAGATTTTCTTTATTTTCTTGAATAGTTTTCTAATTATCTCGTATCCGAGTTTCTTTAGAATTTTATAATATTTAATTCGTGTTGTTCTCTTTTATAAAGCAGCTCCCATTTAGTTATAGATTTAGAAATGAAAAATTGAGAGTTTCTTTTATGTGCGCCTCATGCATGTTTTGAGTTAACATTATCAAAGCGACATCTCAAATTAGTTCTTGTTTCTTTCTTGAAAATTCTCTCATCTCGTGATGTAGTGTGAAATAAATTTATTAATGCAAGTTTTAGCGTGGAAGGAGAGGATTAAAATTTTGATAACGCCACTCTCAATTGCTCAAAACGATGTATTTCATGAGCTGACAAACACATCGAAAGTGACCGTCACTTTATAAACTAACACTATCTACTTCATAGTGCTATTGATATTATCCATTTCTCCGACCCAAAAGTCAACTAAATGGAGGCCAAAAAAGGCTACTAAATTTGTCAATGCATGTTTTGCGAGCCAAATCTTTGTTAATTCCCAATCGAAGAAATTTAGTCCATTTCCGACGATCTGGATTCAATTAGCGGGATAATTTGCACTTGATCATGCCCTTCTTAAGGAGGTAACCCTACTTGCTCATCTGCCGCTGTTCCATATGATAGCCCTTTTTCCCCAATACACCAAATTTGCACCTTTCGCATGCAATGTTCATGTACTTTTTTTTTTTGGTGTAAAATGTAAGTAGTATATAACGGATGATGTACAGCAGCTTAGGGGCATTCCCCGGTATTACAACTAGTACTAATAATTCGAGAATATGGAGGTAGGAAGTCTCCATAAAGTAGCTAAAGCAAAATTAGCTTGCGAAGGTTTGATTTTTTGGTATAGCGAAGCTCTACCTCTTACATTTTTCCGCACCTTCGCCAAAATAATCTGAATGTCAATTGGATTGTTTTGAAACCGCCTATGGTTGCGCTCCATCCAAGTGCAATATACAGTCGCTAGGAAAGATACATTGAGGAGTTTCGCTGTCAAATCTTTGCCTCTTGTTGCTCTAACCATCCATTGAAGCTCCTCATTCCATCCCCATACATTACGCCTGATCCCATGTTGCGCAAGAATATTGCGCCAGATGCTACCTGTCCATTCGCATTGGAAGAAAAGGTGAGTCGTGTTCTCTATACTTGCCCTACAGAAGGTACATTGAACATCGACTGAGGTCATCCACCGTGATATGATCTCTACTGTCGGAAGCCTATCCCTACATACTAGCCAACCAATAAAATTGTGTTTGCTAACGCCGTTACTCCATATTAAGTTATACCACTCCACAGCTGGACTCTCGTGTCTAAGTTCATCCAAGACATCATGGCAGCAATATCTTAGATTAGACATGACTGGGGTTAGGACATGACGTAGTTTGAGGAGACATCGCCAACTCTAGGCCATACTACCCTTCATGTCCATCTGCAAAAATGGGGTTCCTCTGCATTTTGTACTGTGGACCCAGGAGCTCCAAAGTGAAGAAGATGGATGAATGATAAGATTCCACATTGTGCGCCCTAATAACACTTTGTTCCATAGGTTCAAATCAGGCAATCCTAACCTCCTTCCTTTTTGGGTGAGCATACTACACGCCATGCAACTTTGTGCGATCCACGGTTTGTTGAAGACCCAACCCATAGGAAGTGGCGAATCTTCTTCTCAATCTCATAGATAGTTTGCTTCGGAAGAAGAAACATTTACATCCAGTACGTGTATATAGATATAAGGACCGATTTGATTAGTTGTAACCGACCCGCATAACTCATATGCTTCATTCCCCAACTCTCATGTACTTTTACTATAGATTTATTTATTATGATGTCAGAATTTTTTAGATTGGGCTAGCATGACGTTATCTCCTTAATACCATCCATCTTAAGTATTTTGATCGAGGGGTCATTTCACAAAGATTTGACAGGCTCATTCATGTCAAACCGTTGATTCAATCCTGTTGATATGCGTGCAATTTCGTTCCCATCTTATCCATTAAGTTAAATATACGCAAGTAAGCTGGAGAAGAGTGATGTCAAAGAAAGTGTGCTGGGAAGAATATGCTGAAGGCTATTGAATACTACAAAGAATATAAACTAATGCATTCTAACGAACGCTTCGTTTAAAGAATAGATCCAGTTCAACTTTACTTGAATAATGAATGACCCACCGGTCGTCCATGCATGTAGACTATAAAGAAATCCGTGCACCACGGGACTAACTACTCCTTTGGAAGCCGCGAGCAAGATTCATGTTCTCATTCATATAGTCTCTCTAACTACCCGATGTTAGAGAGAGAGAGAGTATTTAGAATGCAGTGCATTAGGAGCTTGGCCTTGGGGTGGCGGACACTGTCATCGGCTCCGGTGTGGTCAGCTTGCCTAGAACAAGGGTTTCAACCGGGGTTCCCAAGGTGGGTTCTCCTGAGCGCACCCGATGGGTGTAAACCGCCTTCAATCTGGCATCCTACCTGGTGGTGGCTCTCTCGCCGGGAACCTCAATAACACATGTTAATCACTTATAGGTAGTGTTAAATCTGTTATTATCAACTAGATATATTCAGGAAAATTACAATGACTTCCAACGAGGATAGGGAGTGATCACAAAACCCAGAAAGGGCTCCGACGTGATGTGCCTACTGGACAGCAGGCTTCTAGGACTGAGAAAAGGGTCGAGAATAAACCGGATCACCCCACCGAATCGAAGGAGATTCCCCTAGATTATAAATATATGTGAAACCGGAGCTAACCTTAAAAGACGCCTGTTGGTATAAGACATAATTTATCCTATACTTTCGGCGTTCACGGCAGACGACTTCTTATTCTTTTAATTTTTTGGTGATTTTAGTCAATGCACTTCGCATAACAATAGAAATAATCCCACCGTCCAATTTTTATGTCAGTGTTTTCAAGGAAACTTCCTACATGGCTATACCCAATAGAATTAGAGAACGTCGAAGTTATCTTACTCGACTGCAAACCTGAAGTATAAAATAGCCAAAGAATTAATATATCGGAGACCATTAATCTTGACCCCCCATTATGTACTGGGTTGACTAATCATATTCCAATCTGTCTCATTCGTGAATGTATACCAAGATACATTGTACTCCATGGTGCTGAATTGAAAGGGAAAGAACTTTCACTTTCATCCAAGTCCCAGAAAAAACAATATGACAAAGCATTTTGCAATTCTCATTTTTATGCTTAGCTTTCTCACCATCAGAACCAAATCGACCATTAAAACCAGCAGGCATCACTGTTCGAATTCGAGCACTTTCAGTTCGGAAAGCACCTACGAAGCCAACCTCAACCTTCTCCTTGCGTCCTGTCACGCCCCGAACCCCAACGGGTTCGTGACACCCCTTTGACGGTCGTATTGAACGCGACGTTCCAGGACTCGTCGCCGATCCAAACGAAACACCCAACGTCATACGCAAGCAGAAGCGAAATCTTAAACAACCCAGACAAAAGACAAAGACAGAGGGATAGCATAAAACAATAATTTCATAACAATGGAAATCAGTCAGACACTAGGCTCCTAGGGTTACATCCACCATCATCATAAAAAAGGGACCAGTGGTAGAATAGGCTAGCTAGCTGCACAAAAAGGGGCTCTACCAAAAAGCTTCTAAACCCGGCACTCAAATGCTCCTACGGTGCCTAATCTGAATCGAACCATGAAGACTCCGACTCCGTGTTAGAGTTGATTTCGATCAGCTCATCCTCGTGCTCGGACTCCATAGGCTCCTCCTCGGGTTCGGGCTCGGGCTCTGGTTCTTCAAATTCTTCCTCGAGCTCGAGGTTCGCAGGTGCTACGGGTTTTGGTACGGGCTCGGGGCTAGGGTTCTCCGGTGGATTGTCGGGGTCCGTCACCTCGCCATCGAGAGCATACTTGTCCTAGGGCTCCCAATTCACCGCATCCTCACTATCATGCTGTAGCCCCTCAAAACCACATATTGGCCTAGTAATCTCCAATCCGACACGATGAAACCAGGCCAAGTAAGTGTGGCGTTGCAAATCCTCTAAGCCTACATCTACCTGGAATGTAGTGAGGTGCCTAATATAAGTCTGATTGGGACCTACTGGATACTCGGTCTCCTCATGCACCGTATGCATAGGGACCCCAAAACGCCTAGCTGGCGGCATGCTCAAGGGCGGGGATCTGAAATGGTTGGCATTACAGCAATGAGAATAAATCTCAATAAACAGACGACTCAAACCCCACCTAGGCCAATGTGTACCCAGACAAGTCCCAACAACATAATTGAATTCATAAAACACACTTACCTCGCCTCACAACACACGTCACCTCTGCACGTTAGTCAAACACTATAGTGCAATAATAGCTCAAGAACATAACATAAACACTCGAGCGCCATATACACATACATTCACTCAATTTAACCAAACACATTTCGCATGTGTGTCCAACCAACTATCCATGACCCGCGTCAGCACGCCTCAGGTCCATTCTCACAGCCCGCGTCAACGTGCCTCAGGCCCAGCCCTCCGATCAATCTGGGCTTAGTCCCGCATAATCACGCCTCAGGACATTTCTCTCGACCCGCGTAACCACGCCTCAGGTCATTTCTTGCCTTTCTAGCCACACCCGCGTAATCACGCCTCAAGTTGGCAGCCCTCCGATCAATCCAGGCTTAGTCCCGCGTAACCACGCCTCAGGACATTTCTCTCGACCCGCGTAACCACGCCTCTGGTCATTTCTTGCCTTTCTAGCCACACCCGCGAAACCACGCCTCAAGTTGGCAGCCCTCCGATCAATCCGAGTTTAGTCCCGCGTAACCATGCCTCATGACATTTCTCTCGACCCGCGTAACCACGCCTCAGGTTGACAGCCCTCCGATCAAGCCGACATTCAAGTCGGCCACATTCGAACATCAATTTCACTCACAAACGCCACGACAAACCAGCCATTGAACCCACCATAATTCAGCCACTAATTAAGCCACACAATCACCACAATATAGTCCACAACCTACCACATTCTAATCACAACTCCATCCCTAACTTAGCCACTGATCCGACACTAATCAATCTCTAAACAAGTCTAATAATACCCAAAGTACTAAGTATGGATTAGGAAGTCACTTACCTAGGTCCAAAGCTAAGGGGGCCAAGCAAAAGCCAGCAAAGGCCTGTCCGAGCGGCGTCGAGCTCGGCGCGGCACGAGCACAGCAGCCGGCAAGGCGCTTGGCCACGGCCGGGCGCGGCCCTTGGCCACGGGTGAGGCGCTCGGCCACTGCGGGGCACTCGGCCGGGCGATGGGCGAAAAGCCGGACGAGCGAGCAAGCAAGCGGGCAAGCGGCTGGGACGGCTCGGGCACGGCTGGGCGAGCGACTGGGCGAGCTCGGCCATGGCCTGGGCAGTGGCCAGGTGAGTTGGGCGACTCGGCCACGAGCAAGGGCAGCGGCTGGGCTGCTCAGCCACGGCCGGGGCAGCGAGCTAGGTGAGCAGGGCAAGTGGCCGGCGATAGCCAGGCGAGCGGCGACTGCGGGGAGCTGGCGAGCGGCCGGGGGCAAGAGCGGCAGTCGGACGGCGGCCCTGCGAGCGACATACGGCGGTTGGACGCGCAGCGACGTCGGCGCACGGCGGAGGCGACTGGTCCGGACGGAGGGCAGAACTTGCTGGTGGCTTGGGCGGACCGGCGACGGGCGGTCTCGAGGCGACGGCAGACGAGCTGGCACGCGGCCATGCTGGCTGGCGACGGCGTCCAGTGGCTGGATGGCGGTGACGGCTGAGGTGGTGGCTGGTCGAGCGAGCAGCGGCACAAGGCGGGCGGCGAGTGGTGGTCGGCTGGTTGAGCGAGCAGAAGAAAGCAGAAGCAACCGCGAAGGAAAAGAAGAAGAAGAAGAAGAAGAAGAAAAGAAAAGGAGGAGAAAGAGAGAGAGTCTGCATGGGGGGAATGGGGGAGGGGACGTGCATAGCTAGGGGGAAGGGACGCGCGCGTAGGGGGACGCGGCAGAGAGAGAGAGAGTCAAACATTGCACTTGAGTGCAATCCAACGGCCCACGTTCAAATCCAAAATCGATCCGACGGTCCACGAAAAACCCTAATTTATAAATTGGGAAAAGGCCAAAATGCTAACTAAAACACACTATGAGTGAGGTCTACTAGTCTAAATCCGCACCCGATCCAAATTTCACTTTTCACCAATTCCGGGCAATATCGACGCTGGCCACAATAATATCGACACCGTCCAATTAAATTCGTCACGAAACTCCAAGAAATTCGACATCAAAGTTCGGGCTCTAAATAACGGCAAAATTCGATCGAGTGCGATTCTAGCGAAATCTCTAATTTAAAAAATAACCCAAGAGTGATCAGTTCCGGGTGAAATTTTACTATAGCACACTGACGAAATACACGTTTTATAAATCCCAAAAATAGGTCGAAATTCGGAATGTCACACGTCCCTTCCCTCTCACGCCAACTCGAGCGATGGATTCTTCAACAAGAGCAAAGGGAAGCCAAGCGACACCGATGCTGTGTACGGCAGCTTCCTGTGCAGGGGAGATGTCCCCATGGATGTGTGCGTGGAATGTGTGACAAATGCCAGTGTCAGTATCAAAGAGATTTGTCCTATGGCCAAAGTGTCTATCCTCTGGTTCGACGAGTGCATGTTACGGTATTCGGACCATGACTTCTTTTCAGCCACGGACAAAGCACCTCTTCTGAATGAGTATAATGCGGAGAATGTGAAAGAGCTCGCCGAGTTCATGAAGCTATTGAGCAAAACAATGGACCAGTTGGTAACTGCAGCCGCTGAACGACATCACAAGAAGTATGCTTACAAAGAGGCCGACCTCAAGTCAAGCCGCACTCCTCTATGTACATTTGTCCAGTGCAGGCCTGATATCTCGGCAGCTAACTGCGAGGATTGCCTCCAGAATGCAACTTCGAAACTCCTGACAATCCAAACCAGGAAAATCGGGGGCAGAGTCTTGCCCCCATGTTGCTTCGTCAGATTCGAGATGTACCCGTTCTACGAAAACCTCTCTAAAGGTAATGAACTCAATTTTTTTTACTAGTTATAACTCGTTTCTCTTTACTGTTTTGACCATGTTTGGTGGCACGTAAAACATTAATTGCCCATACCATATATTTGGTAGATGCTAAAGGTAATGCCAATATACTAATGAAGGCTTCAACTAATGAAACACAGTAGAAAAGAAAAGGCATTCTACATCAAGATTAGTAGTTGGGATAACCTCTGCAACTTTGGCGGTCGTGCTACCTTGCGTTGCTCTCTGCTTTACCCTCAAAAGAAAAAAGAACAAGAGAAACCATGACGAAGATCCTATTGGTAAGAAATGTCAAAGATCTACACCGCTTGCATCAGTCTTTTCACTTACAGTTTATTCGTATCGAAAAGTTGATGGCTTACTGCTACACACTAGGGAGTGAAATTTCGGAACTACATTGCCTGCAATTTGAAGTGTGCGCAATTGAAGCTGCCACAGCTTACTTCTCGAATCACAACAAATTAGGGGAAGGTGGGTTTGGTCCAGTTTACATGGTAAAAGTTTTAACATAGAGATATGACATATAGCACTACCTGGAGAGAATCTCTATTCATGTTCCGTCTTGACATTTTCATTCATGTTCTGTATTATGTAGGGAACACTTCCTTGTGGAAGAAAAATTGCAGCAAAACGGTTGTCTCAAAGCTCAAAACAAGGCGTGCAGGAATTCAAAAACAAAGTCGAATTGGCAGCCAAGCTTCAGCACAGAAACCTAGTGAGGCTATTAGGATTTGCCATGGAAAGAGAAGAAACGATACTGGTCTACGAGTACGTGCCTAATGGAAGCCTCGACCAGTTGCTCTTCGGTTCGCATCTCGCTCTTCATCTTCTTAAAAAATTACTTCGGTCCACTCAGTTTTGTTCCTTTTTTACAATCTTAGTCACCATCTAGAAACATGTCCCGGATTTAAGCAAAACTTTAGTAGTTACGTCTTGGGACATTCTTTAAACGAGTTGATGAAGGTTTCAAAAGAAAATTACATGTTACAATGACCACTTGTCAATTAGATTCATACATGAAGTAGAGCTTCTTCTGACACAAACATTTACAAAATCTGGCCAACACAGACCCTCGGCAAAGCATACAGTTGGATTGGTGTGCCCGCCACAAGATCATGGTTGGGGTGGGACGTGGTCTTCTTTACCTTCATGAAGATTCTCGGCTCCGAATTATCCATCGTGACCTCAAAGCTAGTGACATCCTTCTCGATGATGATATGAACCCGAAAATCTCGGACTTTGGTATGGCTAGGATTTTTTATGCTGAGCAGACTCAAGGAAGTACAAACAGATTCATCGGGACATAGTAAGTTCACATTCATATTACTTTGGTTCATAATAGGAACACCCCGCCAGATAATATGCAATAATTATGCTAACAGATTCGGCCTTCAATTAGATTTCCTAATGCATAGAGTATGTTGTGCCTTAACGTCTTGATCCTTAAGGAAACTATTCTCATTCACGAGAATCACAACTATGTCTTCCTCTTTGAACTGCTTTACAGTGGCTACATGTCTCCTGAATACGCAATGTATGGACAATTTTCAGTAAAATCCGATGTGTTCAGCTTCGGTGTGCTCATGCTAGAGATCATAACTGGCAAAACGAGTCAGTATTCTTACATATCAGATCACGATGCGGGCGTTCTAGACTATGTGAGTACAATTTGATCTTGCGATATCATTCACTTTTGGTAAATTAATGACGGTAACAACATATGTTCTAGGTTTGGGAACACTGGAGAATCGGAGCAGCTTTGGAAATTGTGGATCCGGCACTAAATAAATCTATCTCTGCAAGCGAAGTGATCAGATGTATTCACGGTGGCTTGCTTTGCATTCAGAACAATAGAGAAGCCCGACCTGCTATGGATACAATTGTTCTTATGCTCAGTAGTGCAGATTCCGTTAGCCTCCCCATGCCCGAGCAGCCTAAGTTCTTCATCCCAAGTGTGAAGCACAAGCAACAATCTCGAGATCGAAACTCAAATCAATCAAGCGAGAAGCTCAATAGCAGCAAGACAATGCCACAATGTTCGGTGATTACCAGTTGTCTAACTGATGTCGCTCCTCGATAGAAAGGGAAAAGGTCATGCAGCATCCTCGAAATTTACTGATCAATGTGCAATTCATGAGCCAAGAGGTCAGAAACGCATATCATACAAAGAATACAAACTCTCTTTTGCAAGGAACAAGATCTTTAAGCTAGAAATTACATAGTGTGTGGAAGTCCATCCTCAATGAGAGCAACCGGGACTATTTAGACAGTAACATTCGAAGAATAAAGTAGAGGACTCATTCTTCTGTCTTAAACTGTGAATGTTAGAGAAGCATACTTCTATCAACTCTTTAGTTTGGTATGGTTTATCTTCCTTTATTTATTCGAGACAATTGAAAGGATTGCACTTGTAAAAGCATAATTCTGTTATTCGTAATTAAAATAAGGATTTTTTTGTTCCATACTAGTAAATTTTATTAAGTACTAGCAAGTGTCAAGAACTGTCGATTAAAAAAGTTGATCGACAACTCTTTTTTCCAAATAACTTGTTAGGAATTTACTGACATTATTATGAAATTATCTAACTTTCTTTGGCAGTTTGGAAGAACCTAACTAGTACTGACATACCAATTTTTATTTGTATAGCTTACTAACACTTCAAATTTGTAACTCTTATATTAAATTGCCAACCTAAATTAGAATTACCTACCAACTTTTGATAGATTACGTTATCAACTAATTTTTAGTCGCCAACTCCTAGCTTACCAACATTAATATGGTTTTATCTTTAATTTACCATTTTTGTTGAGTAATTAACTTTATTTATCTTGATTAACAAACAACTTAAATTTACTAACTCTTTTTAGAGATTATCAATTTGAATTAATGTGACTTACTAACTTTGCTCCCATTAAGCTACCACGTACTATTGGGTTACCAACTCTTATTAAGTTGTTACTAACGTTTATTTATTTGGACAAATGCGCAAGAAATCCTACAATTTATCGAGAAAGTGCATTTAAATCCTAAAATTCCAAATAGTTAAAGCCCTAAAAATTGTCTAATAGTGCCACGAATGACCAACTTTAGCTCCGCTCAATTCTAGTGACGGAAAATTCTGAGGTGACATCCATTGAGGTCATGTGGCTGCTAGACGAAAAGGAACCTCGCTTTATGTCCTACTCTCACCATTGCCAAATCCAGCAGCCACAAGCACCCCGTAAAATGCTCGAACTCTTATCAACCGACGTTCCAATTTCGTCTTCTAAACGCCAACAAAAGTGTTGTCCCGTTCTCGAAACCGAATCCAGATCTCCCAAATTCGGCAAACTCTATGCATACCCATTTGGCTTCCCTTTACGACCCTGTTCTCTGATCCAAGATCCGAACTAAAAAAACCTCACACGGACCGAAACATTTCGCTTCGTCGCCCGACTTCAACTGGATCTCTATTCATCAATGCTGGAGGTGATTACTGTTCGTGGTTGGAGGTTCAATCAGAGGTATAAGTCATCTCTGGTGACTTAGTTATGCGTCAACATGGTCTACTGAGAGATTTTCTTGTCGACTCGTTTATGATCATTTTAGGAGATAACGTAGACCCTTGAACCGTTATAAAGGTTAGAATCAAGACACACGCTTTGTTGAATTGGATCACGATTGTCCCAGTGCAAGGCGTCAGGCCCACCACCATCACTAAATTTCCAATGGATTACGTTTTTTGACCTCGGTCGTTTGGTGATGCCCATGCATGCATGTGTTTCGCGCTCGCCGCCGTCATTTACTTTCTCGTTTTCCCGTTCGTGTTTACGTGTGTTGTCTTTTAGACGGAGGGGAGCCGCCGCTAAATTGGAACTTATGGTGAATCGTGGGCCCACCAATATATATTTTGGACTTTTCATTCGGCGCACCCATAATGTAAAAATACCGTTATACAAACAAAATGTTAAAATATGTTTCACGTTTGAGTACGAACGAAACCTTACCCGAGATAAAATTGTTATTTGTGGACGTACGAATATTTCATATTGGAGAAGGATTTCCTGATTTGTCTTGATATCAAATTGATGTGAAAAGAGATGTTGGCCAAGCAAATATAAAAGGGAAGCAAATCGGTCAAGAACAAATAAAAGGAAAGTCCAGCTTGGACTTGGATTGACCGAATTTGGGTTCTAAACATGTAAACATGGATCTCTTATTCCATGTTGACTCCGGCCTCTGAACCTTTTTTCTTCCTTTTCTGCTATTTATATATTCACATTATGGAGTCTTCAAAGGGCGCAAGTTGTCGATGAATGCCTTCAGAGAGAGTGCTTCTTCGTACGAGGATCTTTCTTCGTAGAATAGCATGCAAGATATAAGTGTTGAAATCAATTAAATTTTGTGGTAAGATATGTTAATTCCTTTGTGAGATTAAAATATTATTTCGTGAGTAATTTGGAACTAAATATTGCGTGAGTTATTGGGTGTAATTAGAGGCTATGAAATACCGAGAGTGTTTGAATGACTTGAGCGTGATTATAATCTCCGTTATATCGCTTGATCTATAATATAATTGTGTCCTGCTCTCCCCATGGACGTAAGTCTCTCAACCGAACCATGTAAATTTGGCGCTCGATTTATTATCTTGTTCTGTCTATTTTATTGTTCAGTCGCTTGCTTCCGCAACACAAAATAAGGTGCCGACGCGTATACAGTTTGTGATTTTGGTGAACAGATTCATTTCATGAGTAGATGAGAGTTTTCATTTCCTGACTCTTTGCATAAAAAAATATATTATGCTAGCAATTTACCATATAAATCTTATAATTTTCGCAGTTTACTTCTAAATAATTATTTCATGAGGAAAGACTTTTTGGCTCTACCATGTAACTAAAGCATTTGGGTTGATTGAGACAGATGACAATTTGAGAGGGGAGAAAATTAAGACCACCTCTCGAATTCCAAATCTCCTTAAGCCGCTCATTAAAGACTATTTGCCAAAAAGGTAGTCTGTTTGCCACTTTCTTATTTTTTAGAGCATTTCTTATCAATAAAGGTAATAACACCAATAATCCTTAAATTTTTGCTCATTGTTAAATGTAATTTCTAGACATTTTTTTTGCTTAATGTTGTCTATTGGTTCAATGTGATCCTTATGTTAAAACTATCGATAAATTTTGCTGAGGTGGACAAAATATTTCGTTAGTTTATGACTTATCATTATTTTTGTTCATTTTCATCCCCGTACTTTGCTTATTTGTTCAATTTTAGCCCATGAATTGCTTTCTTATTCTCTCTCTCTCTCTCTCTCTCTCTCTCTCTCTCTCTCTCTCTCTCTCTCTCTCTCTCAAGTGCGCTGTGTCAAAATTGGATTTAATTTCGATCAAATTGTTTATTAATTATGTCACAACAATTATAACCAAAGCATAAAAGTTAATTAAATGGATTACACAATGCATACCATTTTAAATATGAGTTCTTATATATAAAAATGATTACTTATGTTTACATGTTGTAAGTATCAATTCTAAATGTATCTAAACATGTCATGTAAATAAAAGGTACATTTTAGATTGTTTAAGTAAATGAGAACAAGCACGTTATAAATGGGTAAAAAGGTCAATTTATACTTGACATGTTTATTATTCATCATGATTAGGTTGTATACAAAGACATTGCCACATGTAGTGTGACGTCTTGTCGAGGGGTTGTGTCGAAAAATACTAATCCTATATAAGAGTCATCAAGGTTTATCTTGAAGAATATCGTGTCTCACCATGCTCAAGTGACGACTGTTAGAGAGAGGAACCAAAACATAACAGTTTAGAGATGAAATCGAACAAACAAATAAAATTTTAATACGAAATTGTCAATGGATTTCGTTAAATCTTTAATGGAAAGACCACGTTAACGACCTTTGAAAAAAATAGTTCAGATGACACAAAACTATGAGCAAAAGTTCAATGCTACTCATGTCATTAGCTTTTGCAAATGTAACGCTCCCACCTCGGGGTCATTAACGTGACGTCCCGTTCATTGTTATCTTTCTTTACACACAAGCGGAAGCATAATTTCGGGACAATCACATTCAGAACAACAGTGGAATTTAGACAAGCAGCATCATGAGCAAACCTTATATTTACAGTGCATGTAAACATATTTTAACAAGCCCTTCGGGCCATGGCAAACATCACATATTTCACACGCATATTCTAGAGGCTTATCCGTTCCTAGCCGACTGTGAATAGCAAAACTCGGCTTAGGTGATCCTATCCCCTCTACTTCATCTTCTCGCTTCTAACTCCATCCACATCTCCTCCCCGCTTCCCGTCCGCAAGGTCAATCTACACCCCACCCGTGGCATGCCTCGGAGCCAGCCTGCCCGCGCCGTAAAAAGGTCCATTGAACCCATGTAGGGGTCCAACCCATTCTCCGTCAGTGTAGCCATGCCATGCTACGTACGGGTGAGGCACCAAGTCCGTTAGGCCCTCATCGACTATCACATACATCGTGATCCGGCGGTAGGCTCGGCCTTCTTGGGCATCTATCACGGTGAGCACTTCGGCTCTCATTTCCACAGGGTTGCCGAACCGAGTCGGGGGAGACGCCATTCTTCGGACCTGAAAAGGAAACAACGGGGGATGAGTCGGGGAGACTCAGCAAGTAAACCTACTAATATCAAGCGAGGACGAGGGGATCGCCATTAACATAAGTCGGCTCTTACCGCACTCGCATCAATGGCAGATCAATAGCAAAGTTCATACAAAAGAACATCGCGCATGGCTATAACATGTGCACTTTACTAGCCAAATCTCGGTTCTATCTCAAGACAAACATGAAACATGAAACATGGTCAAATCAAGATAATGAACCAACTACAACCAACCAAACGACCGAGAAACGGTCCAAGCAAACCATGTCACAACGCATCACAACTTTATTTCTCGTTATTAGGAAGTTTATTTACTCAACGGTATAAAACAAGAACTAGAAAAGAACACGGGAGTCTCGGTGAATCTCGACTGATCTTCGTCACGTGTCTTGAGCTCGTGGAAGGTGGGATATCGATCTGTTCTTGGGCGTGAGCTTTCTTGTTTG